GTTTGTGTGATGCCTCAGTTGTCCATGTAGGACCCATAACAAAGGAGAAATTCAATTCTGTCAGCTTGGATGAGAACATCTTCAATCAAAAAACTTTTATCCACTTGACAGAATAGAAATTCTCCTTTGCTAGAATTTCTCTTAAAGGTTGTATAGAGGATTTTCCAAGGAACGAGAAATCCAGCGACTGTTTGTCCTTTTTCAAATGTTGCGCATGCGTGAAACCACCCCCCTCCCCTACAGCTCCCTACGTAGAAACGCCTCCTCCCGCCTCCTCTTTACGCCAGAAACAGGTTTGTTTACAGCCGGTGCGCTGCACATGACTTGTAAACAACTAACTACAGTGTTGGTTAGGCAAGGTGGAGAAGTGAGGAGCGGGGGGAGCGGGTGCGCGGACATTTCGTGCGCGGACGAGAAGTGAGGAGCAGGGAGAAGAGCGGAGCGGGAGAGAGGAGAGGAGAGGAGAGAGGAGGAGGAGAGGGAGCGGTGCGCGGAGATTCCGTGCCCGGAGAAGTGAGGAGCAAGGGGGAAGAGCGGAACGGGCAGCGGGGACAGGAGCAGGAAAGGGGTGCAGAGAAGGTTGCGCGGAGATTCAGTGCGAATGAACTAGCTACAACACGCAGCAGCAAGCGGACTCTTTCTTTGCCTTTTCAGACATAGGATATCGCTTTTGTGTCCTGAAAAACGTTTGACTAGCTCTTGGAAATAAAGTACGTTTTCATAATAAGCAGAAGTTACCTGTCCAGGAGTAATTTGGCGACCAGTGCGTCAGTCTTTAGACCCTACGTCTGCTTCAGTCGCGCCATCGCTGGAATGAATCTTCAAGAATCACCTTAGTTTGGCTTCACTGCTTTTCCCCTTGTCTTCTTCTTTCAGCAATCTCAAAAACGGACTTTCTTTTGCGGCTAACTCCTCCTGGATTCTTGTCGCCATTGCAACAAACTTTGTGCTAACTGCGAGGAAGATATAGGTCAAAAAAAGCCGCTAAGAACTGTTGCGTTGGTGGAGTAAACAGCGTCTGTGCGGCTTGCGTCTGTGGACTGTGTGACAGTCGTACGTAAACCACGTACCGGCAGCGCGCAGGCAAGTCAGTTACGCTAGAAACGTAGGGAGATTGATTGACAGCCTGTCAGCTAACAGATAACAAGGCAGTGTCGTTATCTATTGGCAAATGTTTAGCCCCACCACGTCCAGAGTTGATGAATTTTTATTCTCTTTTTTTGGTCATCATAATTACAAGGCTACTGCATCCCTATAATGCTATCATTGACAATTTGAAACAAAAAAAAAAATCCTCCATACAACCTTTAAAGGTACATTATGTAACTTTCTGGAGGTGGCTTCCCCTGCATGATTCCATGGAAATAGAAAGTTAAAACCACACGTTGCAGAACATTCTCCATGGAGACAGAGAAGTTTTATGCCAAACTGGAAGATTATAGCCAAAAGAACAACATTTCGAAGAGTTAGGTTTGTGGAGATGCTCACAGAAAGAACACGTTTTTCAGTGCAATAAACTCTAAATACCAACAATGAAAAAAATAAAACAAAAAGCAAATTGTCTAAAAAGTTAGACATTATCAACAGCATGAACAAAAAATAACTGCTTAATTCATGTATGTTTTGGATACAGGGAGAAATCAGGAGAACCTCAAAGAACCCACATCACAGTGAGGACATCCACTCCACTCTAAGAAATGCAAGGTATGAAGTCCAAACCCACAATCCTCTGCTTGGAAAGTGAGGGCACTAACCACTCTGCCACTCTGCCTGTCAGCAGTTGTTAATTTGAAATAGACACCTACAAATACCTGCAGTACAATCCCCTTTCCCACAAACTGGCATGTATGTAGTTCATTTCCTCCTCTGTCAGCTTGTGGCACAGTTTGATGGGCAGCTGCGGTCGCCATGGTGATGCACTGTAGGCGATGCTGCTTGTTTGGTTAGCTAACAAGCCTACAGTACGCAAACATCTTTCCTTTTAGCGTTTATTTTGGGGGCTATGAGAACAGGACCTGCTTTTTGTATGCAGTCATTTGCATATTTATTTTGCATATATTGCATATTGTTACTTAATCAATATGTAAATGTGTTCAAATCAGTTCTAAAGTAAATATGCTTTTTTTTGTTACTATTGAAAATTAAACTCACTGACTATGGCAAATTGACAAATAATTTTAACTAATATAGAAATAATTAGTATGCCAATCAGTTAAATGTGCACAGTATGGAATTAAACCTATCTCCATGGAGTCAACTCACACCCCCATGCCAAGTTACAGGTCAGATCTGTGGAGAGATGAGTCTGCTCACAGTGAGAATGCATGTATTTTTGGAATAAAAACAAATGGAACAAAAATATAAAAAACACTTAATGCCAAATTTCCAAATATTCCAGACAAAGGAATAACATCTATGGAGAGAAACAGGTGACAGACTCCCCACCAGAAAAAGTTACATAGGTTAGTGCACCTTGAACTCATTTCCCATATTGTACAATTCTTTCTCAGTGTAGAATATTTTCATTGGAAATATCTAAAAAGAAAATTGCAGATTGTTGAACCTTATCACTTATAAGCCTATTGAAAATGGTGATCCAAAGTGATCTATAATCCTATGAGATTTATTCACTGAAGTCACTTTACCTGCCAGTTATTCTGTCCATATGCTGTTTAAACATATAGCCACTTATTGTATGTAATAGTGTTGTAGTATGGGTCATTTCACACCAAATCTCCAAATGCTCCCGCCCAACCATCTCAGATTTGACTGAAAAAATTCTAGGAGGTTCACACACTTTCCAACAGGAAAACTCCCAAATTTTTGCTCCCAACTCCTTATAGTTTTGTCATTAAAAGATATTTTGTCAACTCCCCCCTGACCTGTTTTGAGCAAAGTTGTTCAAGGAGCCACTTTCAGATTGCTGTATCTAAAAAACTATTTAAGGTAGGTCCTTCAAATTTTCAAGGGTTAAAATTTGTCAGATGTACTTATAGAATATGGACTTTTATACATGTGCTTTTGATTTATTAGAGATTTCTGGGGGCTTGAATTTGCTTGAAAATTTTACTCTTCATATTTAAGGGCATGTGACTGACTGTGGACTGTGGAAAGTGCAGTTTCAAAGTCAAAGGTTTGATATTGAACATAAACCTTCCCACACATGCTGTGTGCTTTGTATTTTAAAACTGAGCCTCTGTGAGGAATTCTCTACAAGATATTAAGTGTTAAAAATGAAAAAAATAAATTTGGTGCCATTTTTACCATGTTATACCAAAACAATGACAGCACCCACCAATATCAACCACCAACATGACTTTTCCCATTGGAAAGTGTGTGAACCTCCTAGAATTTTTTCAGTCAAATCTGAGATGGTTGGGCGGAGGCATTCGGAGATTTGGCGTGGACTGCCCTGTATAGCTTTGCTCTACTTGCACAATGTTGTGTTAGATTGAAGTCTAGTCTAACAGTACTTAAAGAAGGGGTATTATGCTAAACAAAACTTTATGGAGCTTTCTACCATGTTATAAAGTTGTTCCCTCATCAAAAACAAGCCTGGAGAGGTTTACATGTCTTCTATGCATGTTTGAGTAATTCTCTGATCTCTCCCAGGCCCTATTTGATCCCTCCTTATGGTTAAGTGTACGACTCTCTCCAATGCTTTGTCCACAAGCCCACAACACCGATGCTCCCACACAACAATCCTCCATAAGCATGCTACAAAATAATACACTACAACCTCACATTAGTCTTCATTAGAAATGCATGCCACTTGTGTTGTGATAGCTCTCTGAAGGGGGAGTGACTTAGAGCGGGGAGCAAAATGAGAAGGGCTCATGGCGTCAAAAAGGAAAATCAAACTTATTAAACATGTTGATACATTCTTTTTGGCAAATATACGCCTAGCATTTTCAAAACAATAAAAGGTCACACGATGAACTAAACAGTCTATGTAATATACGTCTGATGTGTAATTAATAGCTCATGTTGTATGGCAAAGAAGAAATTCAAGTTGTTTTTGTTTTTCGACCAAAATAAACTTTTATCCAGTTGACAAATTGACTTTCTCCTTTGCCATGGATTCTACCTGGACGACTGAGAGATTTTACACACAACCCCATGTTCTAGTGTAATACCCCCTCTTTAATTTACATTGTTTATCGATTTTCTCATTCTATTCTTGAACTGAGCGTTGCAACACTGGAATTCCCCCACCGAACCATACCCCAAAATCAGCCTTGACCATGTTTTTGCATCATCCCATCATGTATAATAGGCCATTAAGTAGGCTATTGTGCGCTATCAAGTGCAACGCAATATGACAAAAACATAATGATGACTAGGCTATACAAAAACATGTCTGACGGAACATGAATCACCGGCCACTTGTTGAACCACTTGATTGATGCCCGTTTTACGCGTGAACCTTGAGCAAACACGACGCATTCCCCATGACGCAGGGATTTCCGAACGGCTCCCCAAACACGTTCGCATCTTTCCCCGCGGTTCGCCTCTAAAAAACCAGACGTCGCTGGTTGTGTTGCATCTCTTGGTAACTGCTTCACGTGTCTGAGGCAGCCCCCGCTTTTGATTGACAGCCGCGGGGGCCAATCGGCTGCGCGCAAACACGGGCTTTAACGGTGGCTGCTCCTCGCTCTTACTGCACATCTTCCACTCCGAGCGCTAAGGAGAGGGCGGAGTGCATTCTCGGGCCAAGTGTGCGCTCCTCTCCAAGCTAAAAATATACTTACAGCCAGATATATATTAACCATAACAATCCTTTCGCTAGTTAACCCGCCCCCTTCGTGTCGCCGGGAGGAGGAGGAGGTTGGAATCGCGTCTTAACTACGGTGCTGAAGAAGAGGAGAGGAGAAACGACTACTAGTTCAACCACATCAACAAGCTGTATGAAGCGGAGAGGGATTTGAGCACTGCAAAGGCGACCCATCCCCTCTATCAACATCTGTGGACGCTCCCGCCAGCCAGGGGGGTCAGAAGACATGGATGTACTTCGCCTGTCGCTGCTGCTCCTGCCGCTGCTGCTCCAAGTGGGAATCGTGCGCGGATCGAACCACGGCGAATTTCTCGGTAAACGACTTGTAGCCAGAAGAGGAGGAGGAGGTGGTGGTGGTGGTAGCGGAGGCGGTGGAGGGATCTTACCCGAGCTGGAGACGCGCCGCTCCGGGCATCATCATCTGGCGCACATCGGTAAGCCCCACCACCAGCAGAAAAGCGCGTATGACGAACCCGGAGTGGTTACCGCGTTTCTGCACACCGGAGACTCGAGTACGTTAGCGCACGCCAACTGCAGCCGCCGGTACGAGCTCACAGCGCTGCGGGGAAGCGCGGAGTCCATGGGCAGCGTCTTGGATACGGTGCTGCACGCTACCAACTTCCTCAACATGATCCTGCAAGCCAACAGGTCCAGAGAGCAGAGTCTGCGGAAGGATATCGAGTGGTACCACGCGTTGGTCAGGAGCATACTGGAAGGAGATGACAAGATCCACCGCGCAGTTGTGACTTTTAACGTGGATTCCTCGGTGGTGGGGCCAGATGTGTTGCTCCAGGCGACGCGGGCAGGTGGGGAGATTGTCCTGCAAGATCTTTCCGGGGATGCGCACCGACACCTGCATAACCGGAGCGCGGAGACGGAGTGGTACCACGGGGTGAGAGACAGGAAAAAGAAGCCCGCGTTTCACAAAAGGGTGCTCAGTCAGGATTTTACTTCTGTGGACAATTCGCTGAAACGTGGGGAGAGTTACATTCCGGATAAGACGCACGTGAAGTGGTCCGCGCCGTACTTGGAATGTGAGAATGGGAATTTTGTGCCGCGCTGGCTTTTGACCCTGTCAGCGGGTTTCTACGGGCTCAAGAGCAATCAAGCTCCGCAGTTCAGGTAGGTGGGTCGATAACAGGTTTAGTCACACGTAAGATCTCGTTAGTCGTGCCCATGTGCAGACCTAATTGCACTACGCAACTTTTCTAGTGAAGGGTTCGCCAAACTGCTTGGGCTTGCCTCTATGGAGATGTTTCATGCTTTGCCTAGAATGTTCCACAGTAAACTTATGTATCTCCATGGAGACAAACAGTAAAGCCTCCATGCATGCTGGCCAGGTTACAGGTCAGAACTCTGGAGAGGCGACCCACTCAAAGTAACCATGAGTGTTTTTTCAAGCACAAAAAAACATCTGTAATTTAATAAATGCAAGATAAGTTTAATGTCATACTGTGGAACATTCCAGGCAAAGCACATACGTGTCCATGTATAAACAGGTGTTGGACCATTCATCAGAAAACAAGTTGCATAGTGCACCTTTAAGTTCTAGTTTAGGACTCATTTGAGTCCTGGTTTGGTCCTGATGGAGCCTTGGATTAGGTGTTGGGTGTAGTTTTCCTGTAGATGTATTAGACTGAACTTGGTCTTAAACTACATCAAAACTCAAAATTAAGACTAAACCTTAAACTAAACCTGGACTAGACCAGGACTAAACCAGAACTAGGACAGCGGGGGACCAAAGCAAGTCTACAGGAGGACTAAACTAAGCTCAACCAGGACCAAACCAGGACAAGTGTGAATGTGCCTTTAGTAAAGTCCTGGTTTAACCTTGTTTAATACCTGGTTTTGGATTAGTTCCTCGATATAGTCTTGGTCTAATAGTTGTTTTGTCTTGGTTGTTTAGACTTAGTTTCATGTTTTGTTTTTTTAATCTTCATATTCATAATATTTTGAAGAACTAATTAGTTCTATTTAGAATTGGTTTATGTCTGGTTTAGTCTAGGGTAAGTTCTGTTTAGACCTTTACTTTTACTTATGAATAATTGATCTTGCATCATCCTTTTCAAATGCACAATGGAAAACAATCAAACCATGAACTGAACGTTATTTGTTGCAACAATTTCTATATATATTTTTTACTTCATACTACTACATACATAACTAAATAAAAATTAATATCTATTTTTTTTGTCAAATGCTTATTGTCTGGTTTCTAACTCAATGTTTAAAGGTGTGAGATATATTATAGACAGTTTGTACAGGGTCAATAGTCTGTTTTCACTACTTAAACATTCTGTATAAAAAGGATTTTGACATGGGCTCTTGTTGTGTCATTTTGCCCTTGAGGTAGACGGTAGTTCCCGTATATAAAAATAGCAATGGGGCTATCCTTTGAGGATTGTTCAGACCATTTCAGACCTCTTTTATTGTCCCAATTAAATACAACAAAATACATAAAAATAAGGAATGTCGATGGTCACACAAAGTCAAATTCTGAAATTGACAGGATTGGGTCAAGTTCTAGACAAGTGAGTAGATCATTAAAGGTGTACTGTGTTACTTTTCTGGTGGAGGGTTTGTCACCTGCTTGTTTCCATGGAGATGTTATTGCTGTGCCGGGAATGTTCCACAGTACAGGATATTTTGAGTCCTCCTGTAGGATTTTATTAGGACTATTAGGACAGCAATTATTCTGAAAAGTATTGTGATTTTATTTGCATTATATCTTGAAAAAGTAGGGTTCTGTTCTGTTCTGCCCCACAGTATGGTAATAAATGTGGGGCATACCAGGCACAACAGTAACATCTTAACAGAATCCTACTTTTTACAGATATAATGCAAAAAAAAAATCACAATACTTTTCGGAAAAATTGCTGTCCTAATAGTCCTAATAAAAGCCTACAGGAGGACTCAAAATATCCTGTACTGTGGAACATTTCAGACAATATCGTGTTGTGAGACTTGGATATCGTTACACCCCTAGTGGAGAGGTGACCATGCTCACAGTAAGAATACATGTTTTTAGATAGTTAGCAATGTAGGAACCTGTTATCCAATAAATACACAAGTTTTATGCCATACTGCGGAACATTCCAGGCAAGGCAGTATAATCTCCATGGAGACTAGCAAATGGCATACCCCTCACTTGAAAAAGTTGCATAGTAGTGCATCAAAAGAGCTTGATTGATTAAAAAAAAAAACAACAACACTGGAACTTATTCTATACTCCACGTTCAGTAATTTCCTTTCGTACTGTAATAAATAAAATACTATATTATATTAAGCCTGTATGACCTTGATGTTTAATGATTACACACGAGACTGTAAAAATACCTATACTTTCATTCACAAAATCATTTCTCGAATAGCGTCTAGCGGCAACGCAAATTAGCGTACTCTTCTAAGTTCTGACCCCTCGCATTTACATATTCTATACACAGAGGGACCTGTACTATATTATATTTCTACTACTACTCCTGTGTGTACCCCCGCTCCCCTCCTATGTGGTTTCCCCTTGTTATCCGAAAGGCTGGGGGGCGAGAGGAGGGGAAGGGGGGCGGTGGGGTGTTCTCTCTCCGCTCCTCGGTCTTGACAAGGCAGTGTAGCTAAAAATAACCCCTTTAGTGGATGTAGCTGCATTGGAAACCACTGGCTGCTGCAGGCCCTTATAATTCATTTTTCAAACCTAAACCTATACTGTGTTCTGTGCTTCTTCACGATTGGCTTTTTCCTTTCTTTTCGGTGCACTGAGGCTCGATCTGCGATGACTCACAGCCCAGATGAGAGACAAGCAATTAAAAAGAAGAAAAAAATACTGCAGTTAGTGTTAGCAGATACAGTGCCTTATACCGATACTGGCAACATGACAAATAAGAGCACACATGGGAGAGGAGCTTTTTTGAGTTAAAGGCACACTATGTAACTTTTCCATGGAACATTCCAGAGTGTGGCATCGAATGTATCTATCTTGCATTAGACATTCCGATATGACATTACATTCTGAAATGACATCACAGTATGTTATGACATTGCAATATGACACATTCCGAAATGACACTGCATTTAGATATGACAACACATTCCAATATGACATATTCCGATAGGATACATTCTGATGACATCATTCCGATAGGACATCACATTCTGATGTGACACATTCCAATGTGACACATTCTGATATGATACATTCTGATATGACTCATTCCGACATGGCACATTTTGATAAGACATCACATTCCAATATGACACATTCCTATATGATATCACATTCCAATATGACACATTCCTATATGACATCACATTCCGATATGACACATTCCGATATGACACATTGCAATATGACATCACATTCTGATTTGACACATTTCGACAGGACATCACATTCTGATATGACACATTCCAATATGACACATTCTGATAGGACATCACATTCCCATAGAACATCGCATTCTGATATGACACCTCCTGATATGACACATTCCGATGTGACGCATTCCGATATGACACATTGCAATATGACATCACATTCTGATTTGACACATTTCGACAGGACATCACATTCCGATATGACACATTCCGATATGACACATTCTGATAGAACATCACATTCCCATAGAACATCATATTCTGATAGTACACATTCCCACAGACACATTCCTATGTGACATCACATTCCGATATGACACATTCCGAAAGGATTCACATTCTGATATGAAACCACATTGTGAAATGACATTATATCCAGTATGAACAGCGTTACAGTCACCATAAGTCTGCTCATTTGTTCGATATGACACTTATTTATTCTTATTATGATAAACTTGAACTTGGCTTATAAGATTTTTTTGTGGCTTAAAAAGCGTATAGATAGATGTTGGGTATTTGGATCATAAAAATCTTCAAAACTACATCACAAAATACCCACATACTCATACATTGCAACAGGACTGTAGCACACGGTGTCATTAGCTTGCTAACATTTAACGCTGTTGTGTTGATTGCCAGTCAAGTGTAAGCGCCCATACGATCCTGCGCGTTAGTAAATATTTAATCTAGATGACTGGTTGTGAGTTCCGCCTTGAGTGAATCACTAATTGAGACAGTGGAGTCGCTTACAGGCAGCACAGATTCAAATGAGCCGAGATCCGCGCTAGCATAAGAGGCTATCCCGACGCTAGCACCACAATCACATTAGTGTGGTTTAAAGTTTAAGGCTCGCAAAGTGGCTGTCAAGTGTAAGCATGATTCAGCAGGATACTTGTCTCAGCCCAGAGAAGTTTGACGTTCTTTTTAAGTGATCAGCTGAGTAATGTATGGAAAATCGGGGTGACACTACTCCTGATTTAGTCTTAATAAAGTATGAACAAAGATTTAATTATTAATTAAGGGTTTAAGGATATTAATGAAGTAGTTTCTGAGTCTGATCATTCTTAATGAACTATTTGTTCATTGTGAATTAAGTGTTGTAGTTATTATAAAGGCTTACTGAACGTTGTTAGGGTTAGGGTTGTTATTATCATTGAAGGTGCAAATTGCAACATTTCTGGCAACAATATTTTTATGAAGAGACTGGATTTTTTTGTTCTTTGCAGATGACATTCTATTATCTACATAATTGTAACTTCATTTAATAGATGATGATCAGGTTCAGTGTGGACTTTTCTTTTTGGATATTCCTTTCAGGATGAAAATCTAACCACGACTCCCACTTGGACCTCGGATTTGACGTCATGTCCAAGCTCGAAGCGTATTATTATGTTTCGCGTGTCAGACTATGTGGATTGTGATTATGACTATTCCCTCATTTTATGAAAACGCTGCCACTTTAATTAATTAGATTTGCACTTCATTTTATGTTATGATTTCTCTGCCCGTTAAATTTAAATAAGTATTTGTTCAATATTGGCCTCACCATAACACTGACTACCATACCCATAGGCAGAGATACGGACGTAGTAAGGTACTGCAGTAATGAGAGTGACTGAAATTGTCATTTAAACCAAGAAAGTGTCCAAACACAATGGAAACACTTCATATTTACACGTCGCGGTGGGCGCAGCCAGCTTGGATTCTGACTCGGAATCCTTGCTCTGTGTACTTTTTCTGCCACCGAGGTCCCA